TATATATACGTATATATATTTAATCTGACTGAACAATGAAACCACAACAAATTTAGCCACATGCTGATGATCCGCCCAAAGACTGAGGAACAGATTAGAGTTAAACTTAACAATGGAGAAGAGGCTTTAGTGAATTAACCTGCATCCTGGTCTTGATGACATCCAGTGGAGTGTTCCCAAACACACTGGCAGCACCAGCGAAGGCTCCAAACAGCCCAGTTACCACGGGATTGATAATTTTGTTCGGGTCATCACCTTGAAGAGAAAAAAAACAAACGAGAAATTTTTACAAGCTTCTTTTTATGGGTTTTAGTTAGATGAATTGTAGAGAATTATTCATGACTGTACCTTTGTACCAGTTTCTCAGTGAGGTCATGACGTAAAAGCGGATGGCCTGATTGGAGCCTTGTTTCAGCACTGTGGCAGTCAGACCCTGATAGGTCCCCTTCAGTCCTAAATGTATAACAACACAGACGTCTATCAGTAGACTAGCCAGCAACCAGCAATACACATATTCTAGAACACATGTATATCATAACCACTACTATCGGTGAAGTACCATATGTATATATGTTGTGCACCCTGCCTGCACGGTTCTGTTATTTCTGTTACCCAAATTTTGTTGTTGTTTTCTTTGCTATTTAGTTATTATATACAGTGTAAAGTAAAAATGTTGAACAGCAAATATTACCCTAAATTTTTGCTTATTTACTCTTTGTGCATCTACTGTAAACTGAATTTTGTATTCTGCATAGTCTTTATTTTTATTTTTATTCTTTATAGCGAGTCAAAGAGTTTCTTCTCATCCTAAGAATTTCATTGCATTGTTGACTCTTGTTAACCTGCATATGACAATGAATCCTGAATCCTGATCTTATTACCTCCGCCAAGGGCAAGGTAATGTTTTTGGTCATGTATGTCTGTTCGTCTGTCTGTCATTCTGTCATTCTGTCTGTGGACAACATTACTCAAAAACTTGTGGACGGATTGTCATGAAATTTTTTCCACATGTGGATACTAGCTCAAGTAACACACCTTTAAATTTTGGTGATGTTCCGKATCACGATGCGGATACAGGAATTTTTTTCTTTTAACACTCTGTGATCGGCAAAGCTGTGATGCTTTCACAGGGCGTGGGTTTCAAAGTGTCCAGCAGGTGGCACTGTAGTATTGGTGTGCCCCTTTGTAACTCTATTACAGGATGGGGGGGAAATTGGTCTTGGCGGAGGTTTGCACTGTCCGAGTGCTTCTAGTTTATTCATAAAGTTAGAAAGAAGAAGATGGCGGGGGGTGGGGGGGGGGGGTACATGCAGTCATGGAGTAGACGTGTTTTTTAGAGCTTTGTGTTACCATTTAACATTTAATTACTGCAACAGAGTAATTAATGTTTTCACTGGAACATCAGTATACATCTATTATATCAATGACTTGCGGTTTTAGTTCAGTACACCACGCCAAAGACAGATGAAACTCAGATGTTGAATTCAGCTGTTAGCAACTAGGCTATCTTAGCCGCCGTCAATAGCCACAAAGGTGAACTTCCCATCAAGGAGGGGGAAGAAGGTGGTCATCCTACAGAGTTTTTTTCAAAACTCATCTCAGAGATGCTTGGACAGGACAACTTTCCCAAGCTTGTAAATATAGATCGGACTCATCGCAGCCTGAGGCCGACACCATATCCTAATGAATGACCATGGATCGTCATTGCCAGAGTGCACAATAAACACGACGTGATGAATACTCTGCGGCTTAGTTGTCAGCAAGCACAATTGCTATAAAACGCCAAAGAGTCTCCATATTCCCAGACTACACGACAAAGGTTTCAGAGGCATTCAACACTGAGAAAAAAGCTTGCGGAGGCTGGGGCCAAATTAGCCTGGTAAAAACCAGACCCTTGTCCTTCACTTTGCTTCGTACAGAGGGTCTGGACTTGCTCCTATAAGAGAAGCGATTCTTGCTGAAGGCGTGGCCTCTGCTGAAGCGTGTGTGTGTGTGTCGCTGTGACGGAGGCTAAGCTAAGAAGCTAACCGGAAATCACGAGCGCTGTAAACAACCCTTACTGAGAGAAGAAAAGTATTGAGCCGAACGAGACGACTGTAAATAAGAGCTGCTGCTTTGTCAGACAAATTTATTTTAATTTGGAAGCCTTACCAACACAGACTGGCTTCATTCACTTCCTCCACACTGCCACTGCTAAATAACTAGCAGACACAGCGCAGAAAATCGACGTAATTCAAAACTCCACCTTCTGTTCTCTGATTGGCCCAGGTAAAATAAACTACAAGCAGACACTGCGCAGAAAATTGACGTTCTGTTCTCTGATTGGCCCAGGTAAAATAAACTACAAGCAGACACTGCGCAGAAAATTGACCTTATTCTCTGATTGGTCCAGCTAAAAATCTGCCAACGAAATCATTGTCTATGGGAGAAATCCCAGACGGAGCAGAGAAGGGAAACTAGAATTGAGCGGAGCTGCGTAGGAAGGCAAGGGCCAGGCTAGGGCCAAATACTCCCTGTGTTTTTCAGCCCAGCTGCAAGTCTTTCAATGGCACAGTGAAAACCTTCAATTCACCAACTGATGCAAAATGGTTTGTCAACCTTTTGACTCAGAACAGCTGACTTTTTAAAAGCAGCCCACATTAATGTGTTTTAGCAATACCAAGTAAGTTCTGGTTTTCACACAATGGTTTTTCTGGAGGTACACATGGCACGCTGAGTTTAGGCTACCTGCTCAGGTTTTCTATCACTGTTTTCCAGCAGCCTCCAGTTTAGTTTGAAGGATATGCTGCTTAGTTCTTGTTGTGGCAGGGGTGAGTTTGGGGGATTTTGTTTTCTTTTTGTTGGTGTCAAACTGCCTGTGTTTACAATGTCAGCCACTAGCCATGTTTCCATCCAATCTTAATTCGGATTTTGAGCTAATTTTATGCTGCAAATAGGAAAAAAGGAAGAAATGCAAATCAGATGTGTTTCCATCAACTGGCTTGTTGCGAATCAACCAAACTAATTACGTGAGATGCATGACTGTAGAAAACAGGAAGTAGAAGTCGCAAACTTGCAGGGACTAAACATCTCAGGACAATGGAGAAAAGTTATCAGGAACATGTTTCTACTATCGGGAAAGTTGTAATTATTCTGTCATATCAACTAGTTTAGCCAATGTTACATGCTGTCTGGAGATGTAGAAAAAAAATGCAATTCTCTTCACGTTACTGGAATATCTGAGAAGACGCTGACAGCGGGAAGAGGGTCCAGCTGGAGTCGCGGCTGATGCCACAGCTAGGAATACACCAATATGAAAATTTCAGCCGATATCGATATCCGATATTAATTATTGCTGTTATGGCCGATAAGCGATATTTACCGATATTACACAAACACACAAATTACATTAAACATATATACATGAACACACCTGGGTCTTTTTTTTGAGACCATAAATAAATGACCAGACCTCTGACATGGCTCCCTACTTCAGTTATTCCTGGCTTTGCAGCATCAATGTCACTATCATAATCAAACAGATGCCGCTCAATCAACCATCTCCTCTCCCAAACCAGAAACACAAAGATAAAAAGTGGGAAATCAATATCGGATGTTAATATCGGCCCAGTTTTACATATCGGACCAATACAGATACAGATATTCTAAAAAATGACCAATATTGGCCGATACCGATATTAATGCTGATGTATTGTGCATCCCTAGCCACAGCTGGTACAGATGTTCTGACTATTTGTGCTACCCATCTATCCATCCTACCTTGAGGCAATGTGCATGCGCAGACTGATGAAATGTCACAGGTTGCTTTCGCAGCAGATTTTTTTATCGATATGTTCTACCTGTAGAAGTTTCATTTTGTCTGTTTCATTTCTTTGAATGTTACTGTAAGTTTTATTTAATTAAGCTGCTTTGTCACTCAAACATATTACCATAAATGGCTGTTTTGCTGTTGCAATATTGTTATTATACTGTAAACAACAAACTCCTCTTTGTTTAGCATCAACCACGTGTTAGCTTTTCATTTTAAAAGGTTTGGATATTCTGAGGAAGGAAGTGATATTCTGAACACATTGACAGAAACATGCTGACTCTCGTCCTGCAGTAAATGACTGCAATTGATCACAAAATGTAAAATATGAATCTGAATCTAAAATTCAGTTATTCAGTAAAAAAAATCCCTTCAACTATTTAACACAAAACTGAAAAACAAATCCCAAACTGTCCTCATAAAACTGCTGATTTTGGACTATGTCAACACCCTCCCAGCTTTGTTCCAAATGCCAGGAAAGTGCATTACAGATGTTCTGAATTTTCTTTTTTTTCTGGGAGAGGGCCTCTAAAACCCTTTGATCAATTGCTTGGTCAGCTCCCGACTTTTTCAAAATAGCCTCCTATCCCTGAAACCTTTGAACTCCCTGGTGATGGAAATCTCCTATAAGATATTTTGTAAACAGACAAATGGACACACACACAGAGACAAACACCATGTCCTTCCTATTATGGTGGCAGGTGATGACACACTACATGCATTACAGAAATAAAGAAATAAAAAAAGCATTATGTATGTGAAAGAGCCCAACAAGTAGGGGGCAGTATGATGCAGCAGAAGCTCTTACCTTGAGTTCTGATAATCTCCCTCACACCATGAAAAAATCCTTTGTACTTTGGGTTTGCTGAAGTTTGATCATGAATGAATTTAACCTACAATAAAATCATATTCAAATGAAGTGAAATTTAGTTATGATCACAGTAAAACACAAATCAAGCACTAAATCCAAACAATTTCATCTGTTACTTTGGGTGTGGTCAAAGCCTCCCAATTATTATTTTTATAGCAGAACTCGGAAGCAGCCAGAACTTTATATTTTAATTCATTAGATACAAAATTCTTCATTTCTAACTATGGTGGACTGAAAGGTCATTTTATAAACAAAAATTCATGGGAGAAGCATGATAAGAATCTCCTGAGACTGGGATGTCATGGCTCAATTAGAAACATTTTTAATTTCTGACACGTTCCTGTTCCTGCGTAACCTAGAAATAAAACATGTACAGACTATAAAAAACAAAAAGCCAAGAAAAGTTCAGGATCAACCAATTTTTTGTACCTTAACTGTCTCCATAGGACAGACTACAACCACTGCTTCTGCAACTCCCGCTCCAAGGCCGCAGAGGAATCCTCTCTTGCTGTCCAGCTTTCCGCTCTCATCTCGCATCTTATTGCTGAGAAACTCAAACATCCCAAACCTGTCAAAGTCAGAGAAAACAGAAAGTCACCCACAAATGAAAACACAAACTGTGGCTTAAGGTACTCATTGCGAGGTCTTGAAGATCCGACAAAATAATTTATATTGTTAGAAACAAAATCTGCAATTCAATTCTCATATCAATGATTAATTGTGTCCTTAAAGTAAAAATATGTCAGCAAAATTAGTGACTGTATGTCAACTACCATATGTGTTTGTTTGCCTATAGAAACTGTCATATATATGTATATATATATATATATATATATTAAAGAAATGTTTGATTGTTCCTTTGAATTTATTTCCCACACAGTAATGACACTTGTAACACAAAAATTTATTCATATAGTTGTTGTAGTGTACTGTGAATGCACGTGCGGGCACACACACACACACAAGGTGTGTGTATATATATTGTGTGTGTTAAATCAGTGGACAAACATCAGCAAAATGTAAACCAAAATTTACTGAGCAGAAATTTAGGAGACATCATTTGTTTCACCAAAATGTTGACAGTTTCTGAGATCTTAGCAAGTTGTTATCAAAATGACAAAAATCTGAAAAATAAATAAATAAATAAATAAATAAATAAATAAAGCTGACTTCCAAAACTAGGATTGCAATCTTTAAGAAATTAAAACTAGATACCGTATAGTGGTAGCATAATGACCCCCGAACGCACCAATGCTACAGTGACCATGAGCTGGAAATGAAATAGTTTTGACCAACTAAAACAGTTAACAACTATATATTAAATTTAAAACAGAATGTCAGAAGCCTACATGAAACCTACCAACATCAATGAGACACATACAGTATTAATATTGTATTAACAAACAGCTATGGAGTGTAACTGGTCCTAGTGGGGTCCGGGGCCATGAAGAGTAAATTGGGTGGATTAATCAAACAATCTAAAACCAGTATATTATCAAGGTAAAATGGTGAAAGCTAGTCATTCCACAGAGAAAGCCCGTGCAAGCACAAGAATAACATGCACAATCCACACAGAATGACCACAGATCCAACCTGGGGATTAAACCCAGGACCGGTTTGCTGTGAGGCATCAGTGCTAATCACTGAGCTGTCATGCTACCAATTAAACATGGAGGCATGCTTGGCTGGAACTTGCCACTTGGCATTATTTATGAATGCCACAATGTGTCCATCAGTGTTGAGAATGCAACACTTCCCACAGAACCATGCTGCTGAAAACAGGCACCAGCAAATCATCTCCTTTTTCTGACCAAGCACCACTGCTAAAGACAGCAGTGCTGGCTCTTTCATTCAGTAAGTCCCAGAAGCGCCAAAACACAATTGGCAATATTGTTTTTGCATGTGTACAGTGAGTGTTTGTTTGTCTAGAGCTTTAGCAAAATATATCATAAACCACTAGTTGGATTTTTTTTGAAACTCATCAAAAATAAAATAAAATAATTAAATGTACATCTGCAACTGACTAACTTTCTGCCGCAAGCCCGTTCAAGATGGCTGCCACATCTATGCGACCTTATCAAAATCTGTCTGCCAACACATTATCTAAGCAACAAAACATCTCATGAGATCTTGCGTTATGATATTTATAAGGTTTGACTAAAACTACCATAGCTTTTGTCATTGATCATCACAGTCATCTCATCGTAATCTGAAAGGCTGTTATGGCCAGCCGTTATTTCTGAGTGTTTCATTGTGAGGCTTTAGTACCTGACAGCTGCTTTGGGTATAGATCCATAGAGGAGAGAGTCCAGACCTCTGTAGAGTCCTCTCACCCCATGACTGCTCACGGTCTGCTTCACACAGTCCACTGTAGGGACACAGAAAAACTAAATGTGAAGTCTGTTCAGAAAACACAAGACCTTTCTATCATTGGTTCGGTTCAATTCAATTCAATTCAATTCATTGTATTTATATAGAGGCAAGTCAGAAGAATCATCTCAGGGCACTGTACAAAAAATAAAAAACAACAATCAATCTAAGAGCCAACAGATTGCATTGACTCCACTTCATCCCAGTCTCCCATCCTGAGCAGCACATTGGTGACAGTGGAGAGGAAAAACCCTTTTAACAGGCAGAAAACCTCCAGCAGAACCAGGCTCAGGACAGGTGGCTATCTGCCTTGACCGACTGGGTTTGAGGGACAGGAAAGAGACACAGACAAACAGAGTTTATAAATAAAAGAAATCCTGCTACAACATTCAGTGGTTAGAAAACTCATTAAGCGTCAGGATTTGTTTAGTCTTTCTAGGTTTTTGTTTATTATGTTCTGTTGCTGGAGTTCCATCAGTTTATCCCTGACATTAGTTTCACAAAGGTTTTAATCAGTGTCACCTGTCAGCTCTCACTCCCCCTCAGTCAGCCTCTTTTGTGTTTCTTCCAGTTATCTTACCACACCCATTTCACCTGTTCCTGTTTTCCTTGTTAGTCGCAGCTGCTGTCAATTTCTCACTCATCCTTAGGCCCTTGTCCCCCTTCACACCAGTTCGGCATTGTATTGGTTACCTACGTATATGTCTGTTCTCCTCATGATTCCCTGTGTGTATAAGTTTTTGCTGCCATGTCAGCTTTTTGTTTGTTTATTTATTCCATAAAAACATTTTTGTTTTCATGCTCATTTCTCCTGCTTGCATTTGGGTCTACCCTCACACTGGTCAATGACATTGAGTGAATTTTTTTTTTTACATAAGTATTAGCAAACAAACGAGAGTTGTGCCAAAGTTCAAAAGGCAAAGAACACCTTACTATGTAAAACATGATTATTAGGATATTTAATTTACGTAGTCATGTATTTTGTTACAGTTCTTGTAAAGCAGTGTATGTGGTGAGTTTCTAATGGTTTTTTGGAAACCAATAATTTATTATTTTTTATTTCCTAACCTAATCAAGCTATCTTTTGTGGAGAACTTTTCAGTTTTTTAATCCAGTGCCTTGAGACTGAACAGCATCCATGAGGGAGGCCCCAGAAAGCCTTGTGCAGCCCTACAAGAACCCTGCTCTGTTGTTGTGAGTGTCTCAAATCCTTCCTTTTGTTTTATCCTTTGTATAGAGCCCTGGGATTACTTTTGTTGTGAATTAGCACTGTGTAAATAAACTGAACATTGTGGTGGCAGCATTATAAGGCTGGAGAATGAGGCCCACAGCGTGGCTTGGTCATCACAGTTTGATGCTGGAAATCTTGGCATTTTGCATAGACTACCTCCATTGTTGTGACAATGTTTATATTATATAATTCAATAATTGTTCCACACTTGATCTACTGCAGGGGTTCTTAACCTTTTTGACCTCAGGGCACAATTTGTTGAGCATAAAGTGGCACAAGACCCAGTCAGACATTACCAATGTTTGGATCAAAATATAATTATTCTAAATCTTGTTTTCATTTTTATTGTATTTACATCATAACTAAACTATCATACCTAACATAACTAAATTAAATACACTTACAGTTTAAAAGTAAAACTCCTGTCAAATAATCACAAGACATGATTATAACAAACATTTTATATTGTAACCTGCCCATAACAATTATTTGAACAAATACAAAGGTCAGTCAACAGACCACTCAGGCTTATCAACACTATATCCATCCATCCATCCATCCATC